AAAAATGTATGGAATTCTGCTATTTGCCTATCAAAATTGAAAAAAGGATCTTCTAGAATGTTCAGGTCAGTTTGGAACTATCAGGGAGAGTCCTGGGGCTCACCAGTGGGTTTCATACTTAGAGGAACATTGACCTGAAGCCAACATCAGGGCTGGGACAGATGCGTGTGTCCACAATGCACAAGAGATGTGCACGTAGGGAGACACTACCATGAGGAACTGTGTACAGACCCTGTAAGAAACAGTAAGTACGGCATTTCTGCTGAGTGCTTACCCTGTAGTCTCACGGGGGGCTTCTCAGCCAGGCCCCTGGAAAGTGCTGGGAGGTAGCAGGGAGGCTGTAAGGTCCCTTTGCCTGAAAGTCTCTGGGAACAGCCAGCCAAGACTCCCTGAAGCTTTGAGCACTAACTTGCCTGAGGAAAGAAGAAGGGGCCAGACCACCCTGACCAGCCTTTTCTGCATTGATAACTGTTTGATTACTGTTACGGTGAGTTCATCATCTTCGACTGCTCCTTCCCCTTTCCTGTCCTCCTCCACAAAAGTCTGCCAGGTAACAAGATGCACTCTGCCAGTGCTACTTGTCCGGACTCTGGCTTTGCAAGGAGCGGAAGAGAATGTCCCCAGGTGGTGGTCGAGTCCTCCTCTGGCTCTTTAAAAATGCCCAGTAGTTAAGGGCTTCGGTCCTGGAGGCAAAACAGGACAGATTTAAATCCTAGTTCTGCCACCTATGTGTCTTCTCTAACCCCCAATCTCCCTGTCTGTAGACTGAGGACACTATCTCAAAAACAAACAACTGGCCAGGTACAATGGCACACACCTATAATCCCAGCACTTTGGGAGGCCGAGGTGGGTAAATCACCTGAGGTCAGGAGTTCGAGACCAGCCTGGCCAACGTAGGGAAACTCCATCTCTTCTAAAAATACAAAAACTTAGGTAGCGTAGTGTGGCAAACACCTACAGTCCCAGCCACTCTGGAGGCTGAGACAGTAGAATCACTTGAACTCGGGAGGCAGAGGTTGCAGTGAGCTGATATCATGCCACTGCACTCCAGCCTGGGCAATAAGAGGAAACTCCATCTCAAAAAACAGAACAAGAGCCGGGCGCGGTGGCTCAAGCCTGTAATCCCAGCACTTTGGGAGGCCGAGGCGGGTGGATCACGAGGTCGAGAGATCGAGACCAACCTGGTCAACATGGTGAAACCCCGTCTCTACTAAAAATACAAAAAATTAGCTGGGCACGGTGGCACGTGCCTGTAATCCCAGCTACTCAGGAGGCTGAGGCAGGAGAATTGCCTGAACCCAGGAGGCGGAGGTTGCGGTGAGCCGAGATCGCGCCATTGCACTCCAGGCTGGGTAACAAGAGCGAAACTCCGTCTCAAAAAAAAAAAAAAAAAAAAAAAAAAAAAAAAACAGAACAAAACAAAAACAAAACTTAACAATTGATATAATAAAGGAAAAGTGCTCAGCATACAACTGGCAAAACAGTTTACTGCCAATACCCACAGCTCTTATTTCTCTTGTTAGTAGCTGGTGATCTCCAGTAGGTACACGATACTCAGGTCCACTCTTTCTAGGAAATTTCCCCTAATTACAGAGTCAAATGACCTCTCCCAAGGACCAAGATTCCGCTTTTCTGAACGTCCACAGCCCCATCCCAACACTTAAACATAGGCTTTTTGGTGCTGTCACATAAATGTCTCACGCCTATGCCCCTTACTGGCCTCTGCCCCCCCAGCAACTAGCTTGTCAATTCCTCGGAGGCCTGGCTTTTGTGCTATACAGTAATGACTCTGCATCACTTCTGCATTGCCAGAGTCCTGGCCCCTATCATGCCCAGGTGCAAATGGTCTGCATATGGCATAAACACCTGGTTGCTGGATGAACGCATGTGTGAGGTGAACATGTAATTTGTTCAGTATATACACAGTATTTATGATGTAGGGAGGAAAGCAAACAAGGATGATGAGACTGAGAGTTTTAGTCCCCACTCTGCGAGTGAATGCCCACGTAGCCTTAGGCTGGGTGCTTTCAAAACGCAGCCACTGCCACTGCCTTACCACTAAGACTTAGTGAAGATGGATTAGGCTTTTAAAAAGCAGTGGGAAAGCCCAACCAGCTCCTTGATGTTAAGTAAAGATGAGCCTCTGAATCTTGATTGTAACAAACGGATCTCATTCTCTTTCAGTATTTCCCAGCTCCTATTCTACAAAATGAGGAACATAAAATAGGGTTCAGCCCTTTTAAATCTGATTTCCAGAGACAGAGATGCCACAACGTTCCCTAGTAAGTCATTCCAATGCAAGTAATTTCTGAAACAGTGAATCTAAATTCCTTTTCTCATTTTACACTCACTTTCCTGTGTTCACTGACAAATGAGGCTGACAGTTGCTCTGATCACCATTTATAACCACCTTTAGTTTTTTTTTTTTTTTTTGGAGACAGAGTTTCGCTCTTGTTACCCAGGCTGGAGTGCAATGGCACGATCTCGGCTCACCGCAACCTCCGCCTCCTGGGTTCAGGCAATTCTCCTGCCTCATCCTCCTGAGTAGCTGGGATTACAGGCACGTGCCACCATGCCCAGCTAATTTTTTGTATTTTTAGTAGAGACGGGGTTTCACCATGTTGACCAGGATGGTCTCGATCTCTTGACCTCGTGATCCACCCGCCTCGGCCTCCCAAAGTGCTGGGATTACAGGCTTGAGCCACCGCGCCCGGCCCCACCTTTAGTCTTAAACATCTTTATTTCACTCTGCTTTCCAGTAGTTGATGCAGACCAGAGGCGACCCTTCCCTCCCCAGTAATATTCACATCAATTCTTGTTTTTTCATTCTTCCTCCTCTTCCCAATCTCCTGAACCTTAGTAAACCTCTGAGCAACACCCACATCAGCTGGCACCACCCAGTTCTACAGGAGTCACACCAAGGTAAAGGCGCTGCGACAGCCGGTTTAGCCACAGCCTAGTGCACAGGCACCAGGATTAGAACCTGAAAGACCTATCCCCATTTGCACCACTGACTCACTACAGGAGCTGGATCAAGGCTGGCTTAGTCTTTTTGTGAAGCAGGGATCATTACTGTCATCGACGCATGTGTTATAAGAAGTCATCACCTTTACAGTGGTCATTGTGGAGTGGTTAACATTAATGTCACTTATGAGCTTGGAAACATTTTGAACTACCAAGGGAAATGGTGCTGGATTAATTAAGGCGGTGAAATTTCAGAAGGCAGAAAAATACGTACCTCAGGATAATAGGGCAAAGAAAACAAATGTGAAAATGGGACCAGAGGTTTTCAAATGTGCATAAGCAGTAGACACCTGTCTTCAAATGAAACCTTTGGCACACTCCCACCCCTAAACCTTATAAAGTGGAGCTGCTCTGGCTGCAAGGCCGGGCAGGTTAGGCATGGTGTGGGGCCAGGACCCACCCTTCCTCCACCTCACCCATTTTTCTGCCTTCCTTGCGTGGTGGTCCCCACAGTGTCCACAGGAGCCTTTAGGCTTCCAGGGGTCAGAATGAAAACCATCAGTGAAAGAGGGATGCAGAAAGTACCTGAATTCCCATAATACAGTGAGTGGGGATGACAGGTCAACCCTAGGGCCTTGTAGGGCCATATGGCCAGCATATTTGTATATCAATGGTCTCATTCATTGCTTTTGGCTTTCTAGTCTATCTATATGTTTCTTAGCCTTGATTTTTCATGCATATATATTTAATCATAGTTAATACATTTTTGCAATGCATCTTAAAATTTTATTTATGGAGTAAGTTGGTGTCTATATACATACACACAGCTAAAACATCTTACACCATGACAAATGTATTCAAAGGGTTTGGACTGAATATTGACATGTGACAAGTTACATGTCCCCCCCCCCCCTTCTGAAAGCTCCTATGCTATTCGATTGTGTTTTATACATTCTGGCTTGCAGGAATCCAGATGAAAACTGAATATACTCTAAAATGTTCTCCAAGATCTTTAAGAGCCTAAAAATAGACCTTACTACAAAAAGGCTACATTTTCCCCTTAATAATGAAAAGTATTTTAAATACCACTTATAAGACATTAAACATAGATGGTCTAATTAGTCTCTTTACTTCTAAAGGTACATTTCTTAGGGAGGGGGAATTATAAGAAGTACTTTTCTAAGTGAGATTTCTGTGAACATTTAAATTATAAAACAGTCTGCTAACTTACAAAAATACTGCTTTGTGTAAATTTCACTAAGGGCTATTAAAATCTAAATGATCTACGGGAAAATACAACATATTTAAATTTCCATCAATTCGAAAAATTCAGGAGAGAAAAAAATCTGAAATCCAAACAATTGCAAGATATAATTTTTATAATTTTAAAGGAATATTTATAGCTTGAAAGGAAAAATTGGTGAAATTTATGAAAATTAGGGAGGCAATTCTTTTCCGAGTTCAGGAAAATTATAGTTCTTAGAGAAGATACTGAAACTTAGCTCTTCGTTGATATACATTCATTATGCTAGGGTTTCCAAATACTCTCTCCTCTCTTTATTTCCGAAAAGAGGAAGACATTTTTTTTTAGAATTCGAAGCATGGCTTTAATGGTCTATGGTTCTAGGGTAGGGTCTGCAAACCACAGCCTAGGAGCCAGCTCCATCACACCACCTGCTTTCCTCTGGCAGGAGCTAAGAGCAATTTTCACAATTTTACAATGGCTAGGAAAAAATCAAAACCAAAAAAAAGAATATTTCTTGACATGTAAAAATAATATGAAATTCAAATTTCAGTGTTGATAAGTCAAGTTTCATTAGAACACAGCCATATCCATTCGTTGACATTTTGCCTACGGCCACTTTCCTGTCATGACGGCAGAATTGAGTGGTTGTGACAGACAGACTGGTCCGAAAGCCTTAAATATTTACACAATTTGGACCCTTAGAGAAGAATTTGCCAAACCTTGACCTAAGAGATGGAGCCCACTCGTGGACCCTTCTGTGTGTTCTTGAGGCAAAAGGTAGGAGACATACCTGGTTTAGATGAAGCAGGTATTTGTCAAGACACCAGAAACAGCCATAACAGCATCGGAACAAGTACCTCAGCAACGCACCATGCTGCTGGATCAGGGTGAGACCAAAGGAACAGAGTCAAAAACAACACAGGAAAGAAGGCAAGCAGGCAGTTTCTGACTTATGCACCTAGGAAACACTGGTGGCATGGGAGTTCTATTTTGTGCATACTAATACTACTAATTATGGTTCTAGTATTACTGAGGAGCAATGTTTCTCTCTTATGGACTTACCTGTCAGGGGTGCTATTGACCTCGGCAGAAAGGGAGGTCAGTCCACACTGAATAGTAAAGGAAAAGCAGGCCTTCTGGTTCCAGTAAAAACAACCTTTCGTCCCCCTTTATCTGCTCTTAAGTGTCCGATGGTACACTTTGCTTTTTCAAAGCAAAGTTTATATTCATGAAAAAGTCACAAACTGGGCTCAGTGGCTCACACTTGTAATCCCAGCACTTTGGGAGGCCGAGAAGGGCAGATTACGAGGTCAGGAGTCGAGACCAGTCTGGCCAACATAGCGAAACCCTATCTCTACTAAAAATACAAAAAACTAGCCCGGTGTGATGGCGTGTGCCTGTAGTCCCAACTACTCAGGAGGCTGAGGCAGGACAATCATGTGAACCTGGGAGGCGGAGGTTGCAGTGAGCCGAGATTATGCCATTGCACTCCAGCCTGGGCGACAGTGTGAGACTCTGTCTCAAAAAAAAAAAAAAAAAATTCACATCCCAGAAACCAAAAAACAAATAATGTACTGTAGATACTAGTTATGTGCCCATATGAGTAAAGCATCAAGTTTAACTTTGGGGGAAATAAATCCTGTAGTGATTTTTTTTTTTTCAGGACTAAAGTTTGAGAGAGAAATTACTCTTTCGAAATATAACTTGAGCTTGTGCATAGCTCAAGAATGAATACTTTAATGAACCTCTTGTGGGAGGGGTGCTTGGCGGCATCCTACCCACTCTCCAGAGTGAAAACATCCCTGAAAACAATCCTGAAATAGCCTAGGATGAGGACCCCAGGAATAACTCAGCCTTATATGGACATTTTCTCATCCCAGTGTTAATTCAATTGGATGAAACTTGATCTGGACACTTTTCAGCCTAGCTGTGTTGGTGAATGAGCCTATTTAACTAGGAAAAATCACACGGTGGCTGTGTGAAATGTTTAAGTCATAGACACAGTAGTGCTGGGCAGTAAGGCTGCTGAGGAAGAAATTTTTTTTTAACCTAAGAAAGGACACATTTTCCCAATAGTGGCATCATTAAAGGCAATTTTGGCTCTTGGTCCTTGTGGGATCTGGGAAGTGATAAATAACCTTTTAGACCTCAGTCAGAGAGACCTTGGGCCTTCCACTGACTTCTCTTTTAGACTTATGAAAGGCTGTTTCCTCAGGGAGTTTAAGATGCCTAGCTTTAGGAGGGACAGAAAGCTCCCCGATGCTCATTAATTTATGATTTTCTATTATGAATCACACACACACACACATCACAAATAGATTTAAAATAAAACGCTGTCCTGTTCTTCAAGAAATCCTGCAAGTTTCCTAAGACTGAAGGATTGATTCCAAAATGCAGGAGCCAAAAGTAGCTAGTTTTGTCCTGGATACGGAAATGCCTCTTCAAGTCACCAAAATGTGGCCAAGCAAAATATTAATAGAAATACAAGAAAATAATTCTACAGTCAGGGGCAACTGCTTAGCATGCATTTCCAGATAAGGAAGCCAGGTAATTTTATGTGATATCCAATCAATTGCTTCTAATTGATATACTAAATCCTGATTATAGATTTAAAATATCAACCATTCAGATATATTTTTAAAAAGCAAATGAAAACAATTCTAAAATATAATGTAAACCTATGGGTAAAATGTCCTCAATTTACTAAGGACACATAGCTACCCCTGAAAGGTTGGAATCCGGTAAGTTTGTGAAACTGACCAAGTCACCAACTCTGAGGTGGTAATGGGGGGGAGATTAACATTGTGTGAAAACAGAAGAGTTGGGAAAAGTCCAATCTTCCCTTGTTTGGCAGGCCAGAAATACCATGAGAACAGCTGTTTTCCTGGTGTGCTGGTTTCCACTGGCATTCATAACCAAATGTGCATGGAAATAAAAACCAGGGAGGAGAAATCCCCCAGGCACAAAAGCCCTACAGTTTTCTGTCCTTTGAACTGAGATGGAGGTCAGCTTGCCCATCTCAGTCTCAAGTGCATGTGTGCACATATGTGTACACACACACAGACACACTCTCATGTACACTCATTCAAACTCCTTTTCTCCCTTCTTCCTCCTCACACAGGCCAGGAATTTCCCATGACATCTTCTGAGAAGCACAAAAGGCAGGCGATCTTTTAGCACTAAATCAGAAATGAATAAATATTCCTATCTTATAGTTTATTTTTTCATTTAAAAAAGCATGATAAAAAAAAAACAACAAAAAAAAAAGCATGATAAATGTTTACCAAAAAAAGTTGTTTAAATTTCACCTTAAGAGTTCATCCCATTTGTTTGGCATTTGCATAAGAAGGAAATTCAGTGAACTCAGAACTACTCCCTCCCCACGCCATCTCCACCACATTAGAGAAAATCCAATAAACAAAACCATAAACAAAACAGAGACTCTGGGAAAATAAAAGGTTTGCTGGGAGAGGCGGGGGATGGGAGCTGGGGAGCACAGGAGCTTTCTGCACGGCCGCTGTCGCAGGTCACATTTCTGTCCTGGGACCCGCTGTAGTTTTCCAGTAATTAAGTTTCTGGCAACCCAAACACGGAACATGCTGTGTATCTGGGGATAGCCTTACCTGCTCTTTCAGCACGTTATGCATGTACATGACAATGATTCTTGGAATCCTCACCACAGGGATTAAAAATGACCCTTTCACCACAGTTCCTTGATGGTAGAAGAAGAGAATGGAGAGAGATGAAAGGATGGGATGATCAGGAGGGTCATTCTGACTTCTGGAAATAGGGAAAAAGACAGCATTTTAAAAACCACTTTTTACAGAGCAGCAAAAACTCTCTGGCTCCAATCATCCATGGCAGTAGCAACTTAGAAAGTTGTGATGCGATAGCATTAGGCACACTTTTTATACTCCTTGGTAGCTTCGGTTAAATTGTTTCTTGGATCAATTTAATTCGTTTTGGTGCTACTCAATGCTACAAAGAATATAAAACAGAAAAAATTAAAAAAATATATTGATGAGTTAAAAAAGTGTTCCTCTTTATAATGCCTAGCCCATTCACCGACCCTTTAGCCTATCATCTCATTTTTACTTTCGGAAGTTTAATTGTAGCACAGTGTCCAAGGTTTGATTACACAGGACTATACGTAAATATTGCCAGCATTTGCCTGGTGATTAAAAATCATCACCACATCAGGTGACCAGGGTCCCTGGCCAGAGAGGCAACAGTGAACTCCCATTACAGGGAGGGGACAGAGAGCCCGGGTGCTTGGCTTCTGCACAGCTCTAGGCTCCCCAAATCCTGCTGGTTTCTACTCTGCTCTTTAAAGGTCACTCCAGTGTGAATCATTTACGGGACTTGTCATGACGCAGCTCCCAAGAATGTGTACAAGTCAGTTTCACAGGCAGGGGAAAAAAGTGAGAAAGAACAGAATGGGCACAGCCGTCATTCTCCCCCAAACCTGAAGATAAAACAAAGGAGTGGGGGCTGGAGCCGCCCCAGGAGTGACCCTCTGAATTCCCGCTGAAGCCAGTTCTAGAAAATAAGGCCTTTCTGAGAAGCAACTTCATAGATTCCCAGTGAAGCTCGGTTTCTTTATAATGGATTATCCTACAACTTGCTCTGGTTGCTAATAAGTCACTATGAATTAAGGTTTTGACAGCAGCCTAGGTTTTGAGAGAGGAAAAGGAAGGCAGCCAAAAATGTTTCAAGAGTTGGCAATGGCTGCATTTTGCTGTTACTCAAATCAGCCAGGAAGAAAAAGAGAACATGAAAGTAATATTGGGAGCTGAAAAACTGCAACCCAGTTGTCCCACAAAAAGAGGGATGTGTGTTTCAACTCAGTATTATTTCAAATAGGAAAAACCATGGAAGCTATTGCTAATAGGAATTCATTTTGATCGGATAAACTAGAAGAGTAGTGGAGGCCAGGAAAATCTGACACATTTTTTTCCCTTTCCTCACTTTTTTTAAAAGGAAGAATGTTTACTTTTCCATCGAGGAGATTTATGTGCCTTAGAACTTATTATGGTGCTCAAGAGGGGATGCAGGGAGAAGATGACCCCACCTGCTTTCCATCTGGCAGGGAAACAAATGATTCATGGGCCACTGGGCCTCAGGGTTAGCCCTCCAGGTACTGAAGTGTGGGGTTAGCCATGAGCCTTCTGAGGTTTCACTGCAGTGGGGTTAACCATTTCAGGCAGAGGACCGCCTGCACTGCCTCAGCTTCCCTGGTCCATAACCCATCCTGGTTATGGCTCGAGGCTCTGCAAGGCTTGCTGGCTGGAAGACCCACACGTTCCAGAAGCTGGGTTATCACATGACGAGAGAGGGAACTTAAAAAGAGAGCCCTTTCAACCCAAGCCAGCTAACAGAGCCAGGAGTCACTCAATACCTGCCCTCAAAACTAGAGACGGCCCTACAGAAAAAAAGGCTAAGGAAGTGGCATGTCTCTGAGGCCCCCACCTTCTCCTCTCAGACTCATTTCCATGTTCAAATGTGACATCATCCTGCTACCTCTTCCCTGCCGTGTGTGTGTGTGTGTGTGTGTGTGTGTGTGTCTGTGCCTCCAGCTTTGTCACCCTCACAACCAGACAAACCTGCCTTCAGGAAGAAGAACTGACGCACCCAGTGATGCTAAACATAATACTTATCTCTGGACTTATTCATATTTTAAGAATTGACCTGGGGAACAGCACTGCAGTGTTGAGCATATGGGGCAACCCAGCAATGATAACCCAGCAATGATAACCCAGCAATGATTTCTCAGGAGGCTGGCGAGGACTGGGTACCCAGTCAGGCTTCCTCATCTCTCTCTAGACCTTCCCACCGGGCCACATCCACCCCGATTCTGTGGGTAGCAGCAGCAAGGAAGACACGGGCAGTGTTAGACGGTAAGGCAACTCCAGCACATGCCCCATGAAGCCCAGCCTTCCCCTTCTTTTGGATGTGTGGCTGTTTTGAGTGCTAATGGTGCCTGGCTCCCAGAACAAGCCAGGTCCCCAGAATACATCAATACAAGTTGTGGGGAAAAGGGTTTCCTGGTCCCATCCATCCAAGTCCTCTGACACCTTTGGGTCATGGTACCAAGTACTGTTTGTAACTTCCAGTCCCATCAGACAACACAGTGCACACAGCCAGGCAAGTCACACCAGGTCCTCGGGACAAGCTTTAGCTCTAGTTAGATTCAGCCTTGTGCTCTCTAAAAATTCTTCTGACATTATAGAAAATTAATTTTGTGCTGAGGCTGCTGGACTAAGTGTGGGCTGCATGGGACGAATGGCCTCCAACATAAAGCTGGTCCCAGCAAAGGACCACGTGGTTTCTGCAGAGACCTTGTTCCTTGCCGTATTTCTTTTATTTATTTATTTATTTTTTTTCCTTGCCGTATTTCTTACAAGATCACTGCAAGTGGGGCTTGGAGAGCTGAGAAAGCTGTATGTTTCTTTCTAATTCTACAGAAAATGAAAATTGTCTTCATTATAAAGAAGAGCATTCTTTAACTGGCCTGGGTAACTCTTGCTATGTTAGGAAATTCATCTGTCTCTATCTAAATTCTGTAGGCTCTGCTGTGAATCCATTTCCTCTTCTCCGTCCGCAGATCCAGAGCAGCTGGAAACCATCTTTTGTATATTGGAAAACAATGATGAAGCTATGCCTCAAGTGTCCCTTCGACCACCCTGAACGGTTCTAGCTTCTTCCTATCATATCCCTAACAGCACCTTTATGGTTCTCAGTTGACCACTCTTCAAGCAAATGGTTGTAAAAAGTAAATTCTACAGATTGCCCATCCTCTGGTACCTGATGGTCTTTGTATGAACTCTTCTGCCCTCTTAGTGCTTAAATGAATGACAAAGATGAATGTACCCTGGCTATATTTAATCCTCATGCTGAGTGCAGGCCAGAAAAGGACACAAAGAATTGTGAACTTTGAGATAAGGAAAAACCTTGAGGTTTCAAAATTAGGCAGAAAATAAAAAAGGAAGCAGAGCTCTTTAATAAATGGAAGAGTTGTACTAAAAATAAATCATTGTGTATATTATAAGTTATTTTTTAGCTGGGCAGGGTGGCTCAAGCCTGTAATCCCAGCACTTTGGGAGGCTGAGGCCGAGGTCAAGAGATCGAGACCATCCTGGTCAACATGGTGAAACCCTGTCTCTACTAAAAATACAAAAAATTAGCTGGGCATGGTGGCGCGTGCCTGTAATCCCAGCTACTCAGGAGGCTGAGGCAGGAGAATTGCCTGAACCCAGGAGGCGGAGGTTGCGGTGAGCCGAGATCGCGCCATTGCACTCCAGCCTGGGTAACAAGAGTGAAACTCCGTCTCAAGAAAAAAAAAAAAAAGGAAAGAAAAAATTATTTTTTAAATCAAAGTAATATATAAAGTATCTTACAAATCCAAAAAGCACTGCTAGGCTTAATAGGAAAAACAGTAGTTTTCTTCCCCCATTTATAATTCTTTCTCCCTAGAGATGATACCGTAGCTGTTTTAGAGAACTCACCTCCACACCTCAAAATTACATGTTCTTACTGCTATTTCTTGATTTTTCAGCTTCAGATATTATATTTTACTTTTTTTTTTTTTTTTTTTTTTTCCTTTAGAGGCAGGGTTTCACCATTTTGGCCAGGCTGGTCTTGAACTCCTGACCTCAGGTGATCTGCCCACCTTGGCCTCCCAAAGTGCTGGGATTACAGATGTAAGCCACCACACCCAGCCAGCTTCAGATATTGTCTACTGATGTTTCTGCTATGAAAGATTCTGGTTTCATTTTCTTATACAGTCTAACTCCCCCCGATCCCCCTCACACTCATGTTCCCATCCTTTCTTCCAATATAATCACATCAAAGTTATTAATGCTTAGTGTTTGTTATTCATACATAATATGTGCTATAAACAATATTCACAACTAATCCAAGTAGGGTATTCCAATTAGATTTCCCTTCCTGTACAACTTTCTTTTTCCTGAAGTTGTTACATATTTTTTATTAGCTTGGATTTCCATGGGTATCACCGAATGCTTCACCAATGTGTAATGCTTTTCTTAGCATGCTCGAACACACCTGGTATTCTCTCAGTTCCATTTTCTTTTCATGGTGACATGTCTCCTGGAACCCACTGTCTACCTTAGACTGGATGCTTTCTATACCTGCTGCATAGCTACCCTCCTGAGAATTCCTTTCTCTTCTCGAGCCTGTTTTCTGAAACTCATGTTTTCCTCTCTGGCTTACTTATTATAATGTTTCAGCGGGGAACATCCCTCCTCAGAAGGACGTGGGCAGGGAAATTTTGGGACTGGCTGCGCATGACTTTATTCTTCTTTACCCTTGACCGGTAAAAGGACTAGGTATAGCACTCTATACTAGCTATAGACGGGCTACACAATTCTAGGTTGCAAATAACCTTTCACTAGACTTCTACAGCCTTGCTGTACTGTTTTTCTGGTTCAGAGTTGCTGTTGAAAGTCAGATCCTATTCTGGTCCTTGATCCTTCGCCTGTGATCTTTCTTCCCTCGGGAAGCTTCTGGGATCTCTTTACTTGCGTCCTCCAGCCCTGGGAAATTTTCTTTGTTAATTCCTCTTTCTTCTGTTTTGTTGTTGTTGTTGATCTGTATTTCTGGAACTCATATTAGTCAGATACTGGATGTCCCAAATTTATCCTTTTAATCCTTTCTTATTTTATGTTGCTTTGTCTTTTTATTTAACCTTCCGTAAGAGTTTGTCCACTTTATATTTTAATCCTTCAACAGAAAATTTGCACTTTTGTGATCACACTTACAATTACTCAGGGGTCTTGCTTCCTCACTATGCACTTCTTTTGTTGGTGGGAGGGCGTCCTAGCAATATAGCTTTGTTTCTCTGATTATATTATAGTTTGTTTTGTAGTTTCCTTTTGTTCATTTTGTTTAATAATCACTGGTGAACAGTTCAAGTTGAAGAGTGAGGCTCTCCAGAATGACCTGGAAGCTCTGTGTGAGGAATGTTAATGGTTGCCTGACGAGCTTCACTGTTTCGCTAGGAGTCAGGAAATCCATTTCACTGGGGGGGCCCATGTGGCACTATCTGTAGGTCTTTACTTTGGGTTAGGCAGTTTCTCCATAAAAGCATCCTCTAACCTCTTCCTAGGGAATATCAAAAGAGCTGCCAACGTTCTGGGAGCTGAACTGTGGAATGTGGGGTACTGATGTGTGTGTGGGGGGGGCCTCACTTCAGTGTTTAGGCTTTTACTTACTCCCCCTGCTTTTAGTACAGAGACTTGTCCCCAGCCGCAACTGTACCCAATATCCCAAGTCCAGGCCCTCTCTGGTTTCTCTCTCTGGAGAACAAATTTCCCTGTCTCAGCTGGTGTGGATTTGGGAGTCTACTCCTTAGGAAGGCTTTCAGCTCATCTTAGGAATGGTTTTTATACTTGAATTCCTGAGTCTTTCTGGGATTCTGTGGCTCGCTTCAGGCTGCGTCTTATTTGCACCACCTCTCGCAGCCAGCATACACGGACAGGCTGCTTCTGCTTTCTCCAGGTGGAGCTCAGGGGCACCGCTCCCCTCCCTGTCCTCTGCTCTCACCATTCGGTTGGTGTTTCTCATCTGCTGTCATTGCCTCTGTTTCTCACTGTCCTGGGGTGTTTATGCCTGTTTCAATCTTTCATGATTTTTTGAGTGGCTGGAGAGAGGGAAGGGATGCGAAGATAAGTACATATGCCTCACTGGAACTCCAGATGAGGAGTCCTCATTGAAAATGCTTTGGTTTTGTTATTCTAAGACAACACAAAATTGCTGTCAGGCAAATATTACTTGCCGGCCAATTTGGTTAGAATACCCTCTTTGCTCCCCTACTTGGGAGCAAGCAATACACACAACCCACCCCCAGCTGCTTGTAGGTTCTCAATGCCAAGGGCAACAGACCCTCTATGAGTCCTCTGGAGCCTCTAGTGATGGCGGCTTCAGAACTGCACATTACATTAAAAACCCACGGTGCTCCTGGCCATGCACGGTGGCTCACCTCTGTAATCCCAGCACTTTGGAGAGGCCGAGGTGGGCGGATCACAAGGTCAAGAGATCAAGACCATCCAGGCCAACATTGTGAAACTCTGTCTCTACTAAAAATACAAAAATTAGCTACACGTGGTAGCACGCACCTGTAGTCCCAGCTATTTGGGAGACTGAGGCAGGAGAATCGCTTGAGCCCGGGAGGCAGAGGTTGCAGTGAGCCGACACCACACCACTACACTCCAGCCTGGCAACAGGACAAGACTCCGTCTCAAAAACAAAAAGAAAGAAAAAAAAGAAAGAAAAGAAAAGAGAAGAAAAACGAAAAAGCAACCCACAGTGCTGATCATCAGGAGGAAACTGCTCAATGACAGGAATTACCCCTGGTGGACTCTCTCTCCCCTTGAAGCTCATGTTTCTCTATCATTTGGTCTGAGAGGTTGGGGGAGAATCAGCCCTATGTAGAGTAAACTTTCTGTTCTGAGTCCAGCCCTGACATTGCCCTGGCTGGGCTCCTCTGTCCTGTGGGCTCTCACTGACCCGGGGTGAGGGTCCCACACAGAAGAGGTAAAGCGTTCAGGGGTATTTGTGTTTGGATGTATCCTCAATTGCTTTCAGAGGCGATGGGGATATAAGCAGAGAAGCAAGTAACTAATTCACTAGCACCTAATTATAATATAAATTATGTTTTGTGGTTACATACAATTCCTTTAGGATTAATATTTTTCCCCCAAGCAAACGTTATTGGATTTTGCAGAGCACAAAGTGAGGCTCACAGAATTTACTGAAGCATATTCAAAATAGATCAGTAATTTTTTTGTCTAAAGTCAATTTGGATGGATATTCATAAGGGAGTTTGACCCTTCCTTTTTTTTTTTTTTTTTTAATATTAAAAGAATGGCGGCTACGGTGGCTCATGCCTGTAATCTCAGCACTTTGGAAAGCCAAGGCGGGTGGATCACAAGGTCAAGAGTTCGAGACCATCCTGGCCAACATGGTGACACCCCATCTCTACTAAAAATACAAAAATTAGCTGGGCATGGTGGCAGGCGCCTGTAGTCCCAGCTATTTAGTAGGCTGAGGCAGGAGAATCACTTGAACCCGGGAGGCGGAGGTTGCAGCGAGCAGAGATTGTACCACCACGTTCTAGCCCCTTATCTTTCAAGTCTAAGCAATATGATCTTTCCCCATTTGGCTTCTTTCTAAATTTTCCAGCTTAAAGCAAAAGAGTTTGGAAATGTGACAGATTTCAGGTATAATATTTCTTCTCACCACCAAATGAGCATCCAGCCCAATTTTTAGCTTAGTGTTTTATTCTGGCCAACTCATTTTAAGGGGCTAGGTCAACATTCTCAAATATCTTTTGATATATGAACATGAAGCACATAGATAAACCCCATAGATAAACCAATAGAAAAAAAACACTGGACCTACCTGTTGAAATAACAAGTAGCCACTGCCCCAGCTATAGTCATTTGCTGGCACGCAAGGATGAATTCACTAGTCCAGAAGAGGCCGATTAAATGGTACCACCACATGTACCGAATACCTGAGAGGGGCTTATATTCCACTTGGCCACCTTCCATCACCTGGGCAGTTCCTAAAGTTTAAAATACAAACGTCCTTTATATCAGTGTTTTCCTAAGCATGAACCATGGTTCAACAAGCCATGTTTCTTTATGCCTGGCCTTTGGCATTACATAAAACAGATGTCAAAGTCAAAAGTCAAGTACCCACCATCATTTATAATATACATAGCAAAAAAATAAAAATCAGGAACACACATTTAACTTCTAAATAATACCAACAGTGATTATTACAGTGATCATTGGTAGGCAATTTCCAAGACACTTAACACATACTATAATACTCATCTCATTTTGTGGATATGAAAACAGGTTTAGAAGAGGCAAGTAGGCCAGGTGCGGTGGCTCACACCTGTAATCCCAGCACTTTGGGAGGCCGAGGCAGGCAGATCACACGAGCTCAGGAGTTTAAGACCAGCCTAGCCAACATGGTGAAACTCTGCTTCTACGAATATTAAATACGAAAATTAGTCAAGCATGGTGGCAGACGCCTGTAGCTCCAGCTACTTGAGAGGCTGAGGCAAGAGAATCACTTGAACCCGGGAGGTGGAGGTTGCAGTGAGCCAAGATCATGCTATTGCACTCCAGCCTGGGTGACAGAGAGAGACTCTGGTCTCAAAAAAAAAAAAAAAAAGAAAAGAAAAGAAGAGACAAGTTAAGTCTCAGAGTTCATAATTAGTAGAAGGAAAATAAAAACCTGAACACGTGGGACTCTGAAAATTCATAGTTTTCCTACCACATCACTTTGTGATGCAAACCAAACTTGTTACATTGATGAAACCACACAAACATATTAGTACCACATTATAGAATCCTTCTTCACCAAAAATTTAAACTTTATGAACGAGTCAAGTATCTCTGTTTTCTCAAAAAGATCTATTTCAGATTTCGTTTCAAGAGCAAACTCTCTTGGCACATTTTAAATGTCTACTGGGCCTCAGCGTTAACTTTCCCAGGTTCGGATCCCAGCTTTGCCTCTCTGTGGGTAGCCCAGAACAAGTTATTTGGCCTCTAAGAGTTTTAGATTCCTTATCTAGAATACCTGGAGGAGTTTTCGATTCCTTATCTAGAATACCTATATCCTGGTGGTAGTTTGAGGATGGAGTGAGATTACTTGGAAGGTACTTGGTATTGTGCCCAGCCCATAGTAAAAGCGTCATGGTTTATTACTATCATTAAATTTCAGGAGCAGAGTGTTACATTCAACTGAGGCCGGCAAGGTCGCCCTAATGTTTTGCCATTCACATAGGTATATCCTGCCTTCTTTTCTCTCCTCTAAAGAAGTCCTTGAATTAGCTCTGAAGACACCGGTAAATCCAAATTCCAGCTTTGTGACTGCATATGATTTTTAGATATTTTTCCACTACGGATTTTAAATCAACTACTGTAAAGAAGAAGATCTTTGGTTCTGGTCTTTGGTGAAACCTATAGCTTGAAGAACATTTAGAGATTGTTTCATATTTCCTGTCATAGCTATAAACTGACTTTAGGTTCGTCATTCACGAGTCCTTAGATATTCAAAGTAGGGTCTGTGTGAAGGAAAGGGGAGGATAACTGCTGTAGATCAAAAGCTGATTCCACTAAGACTGATCTTAATTCCCAAGCTCTATGATCTGCTGAACAAGAGTGACATTGTAAGAAACAGTGGAGCAGCTTGATTTACAGAGAGATCAATATTTTATGAATGCTGGGCTCACTCTGGCTTGGAGGCAATATTTGTTTTGGGTAAGGGATGGATAAATGCCTATGCTGTTCCAAAATGGGGTGTGATCCAGGGCATGCTTCAGGAAACGTTCTCAATTCCAGAGGAGGTGTCCCCTCCCAAACAGAGTGCCTGTTTGGTAGGTGAGGTCAGTGGACTTTGGAGTATCACTCTGGAATATCAGAAGTGCTCTGGGCCAGGGAACAAGTACCTGCTCCTCCTGCAAGGCCCAGCAGTACTGGCTGCAGATGACGGTTCTGCAAAACCAGGTTCACAATATCACAATTAGTGAGTGAGGGCGGAGAACGTTTCCACACAACAGGAAAGACGGTTTCTTCAAACAAAGGTAAGTACGTCCTGCTGGACCTGAACGCTGATGGGGGGGCCAGTCTCTCCTCTCAGCTGCCCTGTGCTGTCAAGGGCACATATGCACATACCTCCCAACCTGGCACAGTCAGTGGTAGGAGCAGCTAAAGTGATGAGTCAAGATCCACTTAGACATTATAAAGCCTTTGGCATTCCCCAAGAAGCAGAACCCGCAAGTTATTTTTGAGTGATCACTATTGTATCTGAACATCCTCACCAAAGCCATCTTCTATTTGTTCCTGGGGGTGTTTAGGACTTTCCTTTAGGGTAGAGTTTCTCACTGACATTGCGGACCAGATCTTCACTGGGGCTGGGGCTGTCCTGCGCCCTGAAGGGTGTTAGCAACTTGCCACGCCTCTCTACGCTGATGCCAGGACGCTCTCCCACCCCCGCCAGCCATGACAACCCAAAAATGTGTCCACGCATTGCCAAATGCTACATCAGGGGCAAAAAGTCACCTGGAGGGGCCGCTTGAGAACCACTGGGTTAGACAAACATTCAGGAGCGCTCTGGCTTCAGGACGAAAGCCAGGACACGAGCTGGACCCAGCTCGGAGCAGGCAGTTGCAGAGCCTGTGGGTGGGGCAGACGTGCTCAGGCGCACATGACTGCCCTCTCCTGGATGGCTGTGTCAGTGCAGGCACGATCCCCTCATCACGTGACAGTTGCTTTGTCTTTATGGATTGGGCACTACTGCTGCTATCATGGGTAGCTAATGTGTGTTAATGGGAACTAGACTACGGGTAGATCCCAAGATAGGATGAATCTCAGGGGACGGTGGTGGGAAGAGCACTGAATTGGGAGAAGGCTTGGTTCCAGGCTCAGCTTTGAAATGTGTGACAAGCAATGTGGGCCACAGCTCTCTGATGGTGAAGAGGGTAGACAAGATGACCTTGGGACAGTGATTACTGGCTTGGGCTTGAGAGTCACACAGCCTGAGAGTCACACCTCTGCACTGTCCCCTAATGGCTGAGCAACCCCGGGCAAACAGTGGGACTGTTTTGAAATCTGCCTCATCACTTGAAATTGGAGAACAGTAATACCTACTTCTCACACTCTTGGTGATCTCGTCCTGTCTTGGGGCTCTAGTGCCATACCCATAGCTGTTATGAGTTAAGTATGATAAACAGGGAAGGCTCTTAGAATATTAAGAGCAATCGGGTCAGCTACAGTGAGTGCCATACAGGGTTAGCAATAAATGAGATATAGGTAGATAGAATTCCAATTCTGAAATTAACTTACACATTTATTGAGCATCTACTGCATGCTGGCATTACAGTGGACCTCAGCTATTAGGAGGAACAATAAAAGAGGCCAAACAAAAAAAAAATCAGAGCGAGGATGCCATCTGAGTTACTACCGGAAACTTTCATGCTCCCATACTGTTCCAGTCATTTCCCCTTCTTCTGTGTAACAGTTTTATAAATTCCTCTTCAAGCTTTAAGAGCTTCCTTCCCATCCTCACTCTCAATGATCTTACTTCCGGTTTCTCTGAGAAAACTGGTGCAATCAGAAAACCTCTGCTAGTGCCAACCACCTAACACCTACCTGCTATCAACACAGGTCCATCATCTGAGCCTTCTCCTTGAACATTAATAAATGGTCCATGATCTTACGGCCATACTTCACCAGACTCCACTCTTTCTCATCTATGTGAACACAGCTCTCCGATTTATTTTATTTTGGTGGGGGGATGGAGTCTCGCTCTGTTGCCCAGGCTGGAGTGCAGTGGCGCAATCTCAGTACGATGCAACCTCCACCTCCCGGGTTCAAGTGATTCTCCTGTCTCAGCCTCCCAAGTAGCTGGGGCTACAGGCATGTCCCACCACGCCCAGCTAATTTTTGCACTTTTAGTAGAGACAGGGTTTCACCATGTTGGCCAGGATGGTCTCTGTCTCTTGACCTCATGATCCACTGGCCTTGGCCTCCCAAAGTTGGGATTACAGGCATCAGGCACCATGCCTGGCCGCTCTTCAGTAATATTCACTCTCTTTATCAAAATCTTTCTCTCTACTGAATCATTCTCAACTATCTCCCATCTTTAAGAAAAATCCACTGTGGACTCTTTCCTCTGCCAGCTTCCTCCCCATTTCTGTTCCTTTTAACAGCGAAATTCCTCAAGATTGTCTACACTTAACTCTTTCCAATTTTTTCCCTCCCACTTTCTCTTCACCTACTCCAATCATGATCATTCAGTGGTCAATCCTCAGCTCTCCCTTAGTGGCCGCACTTGCCACACTGGACCCTGCACAGCTCTGTGGAACCCTTCACCTGCATTCCAGGGCACCACACCTACTTTCTTCTTCTACCCACTGGTCACTCCCTTTCAGTCTTCTGTTTGTTCTCCCTCAGATCCAGGGCATCATGAAGTGCCTCAAAGCACAGTTCTGGGATTTCTTCCCCTCTCTATCTACATTCATTCTAATCTCATGGTTTTAAGTCCTATTAATATGCTCCAAGTTCCTAAAGGTAAATCCTAGCCAGGACCTCCTCCACTAACTTCAGACCCACACAGCTAACTGCCTACTTGAGATCTCTACCTGGCGGTCTAAAAGACATCTCAATTAAAGCAACTAAAAATTAATTTCTGATCTACCTTAAAATGCTATACTCAAATTCTTGCCCCGTATCAGTCGATGGCAAAGTTATCTTCCAGTTGCTCAGGCCCAAATCCCTCCGAGTCCTCTCCAATTCTTTCTTTCAGGTAACCAGAAAATCCAATGTGCTCTACCTTTGAAATAGATGCAGAATCCAATATGTCACACCACTTCCACCATTATGACCTGTTCCAAGCCACTATCCTGTTCTTACTGAATCACTGCTATTAAAAGGTGGTCAGGTCACGTTTTTATTCTGCTTAAAATCCTGTAAAGACTTCTCAATTCAGGTTAGAAGCCAAAGTTCCTACAAAGGCCAGAAAAGCCCCAGAATCTGACCCCCCAACTCT